TTCTCAAGTTTGATATGTTATGCCCTGGAGACTTTAATCATATCAACAAAGTCTGTTTTCGCCTTGTCATTATTATCCTTGTTGCTATTCTCGCCAATACGAACTCTACATATAAAGTACTATGTTAAGATTAATTTATTAATCTTTTCATAACTGGATGAGATATACCCAATATTATTAAGACACATGCTTTCCAGAACGTACTTTCCTTCTCCACACATGGAAGATTCTCAAGAACCTTCTGAATAAACTTCAGGTTTACGTACATGCAAACATAAAAAAGTTAAGATTAATTTCACGTCTTATTGTTTCATATTGATGTTATGCCTTTGTTAAACTATTTTGTAATATGGTACAGGTCAAAACAGATTTTACTTTTAATTCTCATTTGATGAATATGTTAATGCCATGAATCAGCCAGCACAGAGTAAGTTATTCGTCTATTCATTTGTTGTGTGCAATATTCTCACACATTGTTATAGACCATCCTGATGGGTGTTCTATTTCCACTTTTCGTTATTCTCATCAAACGATCGATCTCGTTAACTGAAAGGAAATTCTTGCAAGAGGAGAAGTAAATCAGCTTAATCACACATGATTTGTTATAACTTAAATATATTACAATGGTGGTGCATGGATCAGTCGTTTTCATGGAAAATGTCGGTCTGAACGAGTTGAAGTTGTTCAATGATTATAGCAGGATTAATTGAAAAGACTGATACCAAAATCGTGAGTGTTTTGAATAAAGGTTGTTAATTGAGTGTTCCAGTTAAAATATATATTTATACAAACTGGAACACTCCATTAACAAAACTAATTTTGTTATTTCAGTAAGAAAAATTTAAGAAACAAGATAATAAAAGAATTATCGAAATAATACTCGTAAGCATTGTGTTTGTGTAAAAGTAATGCCAGGGGAATAAGTTTTTCAATATGATTCGTTTCAAAAATTACTACCACAAAATTTTATAATACAGTGGCAATCAAAAATAATGCAACATTTAAATCATAATTTTTAAATTGTTATATCTCTTTCAAATTTAAAAATATCAAATCATGATTGATATGATTAAATAATACAATGCTATTGATTGATATGTTATAAATTCATTAATTGATATTTTTTTAAATTCAGAAATTTGGTGTTGCATTATTTTTGTTCTTTTCTTTGTAGATCAAATGACACAATCAAAAGCTACACAATCTTTGGGCAACGTAACAATAATATTTTAATGTTGTCACATAGAAGGAAAGTGCCGTACAAGTCCAGATAAAAGGGCAGAGATAATTCTCACTCTTGAAAAATGGTACTCCGCATGAGGAATCGCAAGGAGACAAAATATTAGTGCTTCCACCGTCACCCGTATTAATCTAAGATGGCGTCAAAACCATTCTCTCTCTGATGCCGGCAGACCTGGTTGTCCAAATGTAGTGAACGAGAAACTAGAACGAAAAATTATTAAACTGATAATTTCCCGTAGGTGCTCGACCACCGTCGAAGTCCGAAATTACCTCTATGAAAATGAAAATCTCGAGGTTTCTGCACCAACCATTCGCCGCTTAATAATAATGAGTTAGTAGCAAGAGTAAAGTGAAAAAAGCCGTATTCGAAGAATGTACATCGGAAACGTAGACTAGAGTTCGCAAAAAAGTACGAAAATTGCACCGTAGAAGAATGGGTAAGCGTAATCTGGTCCGAGGAGTCGAAATTTAATGTTTTCAGGTCAGACGGGCGCGAATACTATTGGGGAGCCATTAAAAGCGCGCATGTCAAACCTACAGTTAAACTTGGTGTTGGTGGGATAATGGTGTGGCGTTGCTTCACTGCTCGTGGTGTCGGTTACCTTTGTAAGACGTAAGAATTATAGATAATGAGTTATATAGGGAAATTCTTGCGGGGGGGGGGGGCTTATGAATACTATTAACTATTACGAGTAAATACTAAATAATGTTGTTTTCCAACAGGACAACGACCCGAAGCATACCGTCAAAAATACGAAAGAATGATTCGTCGATAATGGAATCAACGTGCTTAATTGGCCACCCCAATCGCCTGATCTTAACCTGATCGAGCACCTATGGAGTATTGTCGACTGCCGTGTACGTCATCTTCCGGATACGATTTTGGGTAAGGAGAATCTGTGGGGGCGAGTCCAGGGTTTGCGGAACGATATTGACGTCGAGACATGCACCTGTCTCATTGAGTCAATGCCAAAAAAATATTGGATGCAATAAAGGCCCGCGGTGAGTATACGAGGTGGTAATGCTAAACTACGATAGTTAGTTTTTAAAAAACATTTTAAAAAATTTTTTTTACATTTGATGTATATAAGTAATTTACATTGTGTCCAAAAAGAACAAATATAATGGAACAGAATATAATTTTAATTTCGATATTTTTTAAATCTGAAAGAGATATGATGATTTAAAAGTTTGAATTTGAATGTTGCATTATCTTTGATTGCCACTGTAAGTGATTTAGCTTCTCAACATGTTAAATTGAGCTCGTAACAAATGACTTTAACTTTCCGGATAAAAATAATCCTGCATCTTTTGAATCATCGTTTATTGTATCGTTAATGTATTCTAATTATTTAATAAATCGATCAGTTTCTCTGTGTATACAAACAATGCAAAACATGATTTATAGCAAACTGATTGTTTTTCGATTTTTATCTTAGTAATCATTGTCCAGAAATTGACAACACCTTAGAAGACTTTTCAGTCTTTGTCAGAAAAATTTTGTTAGTATAAGACTAAATAACTTTTTTTTAACTATAACCCATCCATTAACAAAAAAAAGCAAGAGATTAAGATGGATCATAACACAGCAAATAGCCTGACAACCAGTTAGGACGAACCTGCTTGATGGAAGACGAACTCCACTCTCACCCGCCAAGCGTATTCAGCTAGCTATTCGGGATTTGCCAATACGTCATGGAATTGTCTCAGGACCAAAGCTCTTGAACCCACCCACCCTAATCAGTAATAAAATATACTTAACTTCAAAGTCCTGAATACATTGTCGCGCGCTTAATTAAGTTTCCGGAAAGTATGTCCAAAGCTTTCTTATTGTTCCTTATATGTAAAATAGTTGACTCTCTCTCTATACTGAAGAAACTTAAATAGGAACCAAGTCTCGAGAAATCTTTTTACGCTTGTGATTTGTTCGATTGTTGGTGGCTTCGATTATAAATAAAGCCCTCCTCCCACTGTTCAAAAGTTACTTTGATAAAAAATTGTTTTCATAACAATGAGTAATGGCTTTTTTTGTTTATATATGAAATAGTTACATGTCTTTTAAGATGGAATTATTTTTTATCAGAATCGTTTGAATTACCAAATGTCCTGATCCACCAAAAAACTCTGCAAGTCGACAAGCGCATTTTTTTCAATTACGCAACTCATTCACGAATATTTTTGTGTGGATGTATTTGGTCAGAAGGTAAGCATGAATGGAATAAATATGTTGCGAAGTTTTTTTTGAAAGAAAATAAAAAGAATTTATTTTTGGAACTATTTTATACTAAATGTGGATGCGCCAACGCGCTAAAAATATTTGATAGATGCTTGATGTATGCTTGATATCGCATTAATAAAAGAAATACCATCAGACGAATTCCCAGCAATAAAATAAATAAAATGTCCACCTACATTGTGTTATCATCATTGATAATATATTGTTGCCAACGAAAAATCTCGTGATTACGAAATTTTCTGGAGAATGATATTAAATTTCTTAATTCTGTACCTCTATGAGTAATACGTAACGAAAACTTAAAATAATTAATTAATATTGTCCCGCAGTCTACATGAGCAATTGGAAAAAGTTTCAAGATTTGGGGAGAAGATATGTGCAATTTCAAATCTGAGAGATTTTTGAATTCGGAGAAAATGTCAATACTTCAAGACACCTTCTTTCCATGAAGTTCTAGAACATGGTAAGTAAAATAAAGAATTTTTATTTCTTTTTCTCTTTTGCCTCCAAGAATGATAAAAATTTTTGTTTTTCTTAATAAAAAGTCTCCAATTTGCCACGATAGAAGCAATAACTCTAGCCAGTCTTTGCAAAAATTTTCGTTTTGAGTTTATGCCGGCTGATAAGACATTGACATATTGTCTATCGCTATTGGTACAGATGAACAATTGCATGCTGATTTTTACGTAATACATCATCGTAGTATGTCACTAACGCTAAAAATTTTATTTATGCCAAAAAGAGTAATTGAAGCCGATCTTTTCGGATGTATATATCAATGAATCGATATCGTACAAAAAAGTACATGTATTTATTTATTGTTATTTGTTTAAATTAATTTAAATTCAATGTTCCCGAATTTTGAGATATGAGTATTACATAGCGATTTGTTTCTAAGTTAAAAAATTACCGACTCGCTAGGAAAAACTTTAGTAAACAATTGCTTCCACATTGTTTTTCTAAATAAGAAAATTCGCCGCCTTAATATTGCTATCAGATAACAAACTTAAAACCACAAAAATTGTTAAACAATAGCACAGATAATTACATGTAATTTAACGTTACGTTACGTTAATAACCGTCAAGATATTAAAATTGGGGCGAAGTTGCATCTAATATGTAGGCAAATGTACACAAATCTTGATTATGCACCATCGCTACCAATAAACTCTGAAACTGATTACATGTATTAACGTGTTCTTCAGTTAACATCCTATCGTACATCTATTTAAAATTTTAAAACACAAATGCTGAACCAATAAGGTTTATTTTGAGCTGCATTTTTTACTATTTTACTAAGCAAATATATTTGCCGAAATAGTCACAGGGGCACTGATACATGTACATGTACAATAAATCAAAATTGTACAGGAACATTATCGCTTTAAGTTACTTGTTCAATTAGATTTTTAAAGAATAAAAAACTATTTTTCCTATACTCCTTGTTAAAGAACTCACTCAAAATTGAGACTTAATAGATAAGATTTGCGAGTGCTATCCAATAAACCAGTTTCATCAAATAATGGGAATTAATTTATCATTGCCTAAACAGAAGAGAAAAAAGACAATAGTTGAAGATGTTTATAAAAAAGACTCATTAGATAATGAGAGCAAAAACATTTTTTATAATAGTGAACAAGAGTTTAAATATATAGGCGGTCGAAAATTTTACGATGTTAATGTTGCACCATATGTAGTAAGTATCAAAATTACAGGGTTTTTTGTTAACGGAATCATTTAAGCGTAACTTTATGTCATATTAGTTACCTGCGGATATTGAAGAAGATGATCGTATCCATCAACAGCATTTCGCGCTTAAACACATTTGTGGAGGTAATTACACGGCGCCGATTCAGGATATAATAAAACCCGGAAGTAGGATACTGGTAATAGATAGCATCACCTATTTCAATGATCCAAGTTATGTAGCAAATTATATAAACTATATTTTTATTTTTATTTAAGGACTTGGGTTGTGGTCCAGGCCAATGGACATTAGAAATCGCACAAGAATTCCCATATGCACAAGTATATGGTATCGACATAAGCGCGAATTTCCCAACTTCAATTAAACCGTTGAATTCACATTTTATAGTTGGTGATGTCACTGAAGGCTTACCTTGGGAAGATAACTATTTTGATTTTGTTTGGATACGATATTTATTCGTTGGAATAAAGGATGCAGATTGGCAGAATTTATATCGTGAGGTTAAGCGTGTATTAAAACCAGGCGGAATACTTGAACATCATGAATGTGATGGACTTAGTAAGTATATTGAAATTTTCTTTACCAAATTTATGATATACTGAAATTCAATTTTTTGATGAAAAAATTTAGCCGAAAATCCTGGACCAAAACTAAAGAAAATTTTACACCATAGTAAGTACATGCGTCATATTTGAAATTTACACTAAAAATTAATTAACAATCCATAAATTATTTCATTTAAAGTAAATGAAGGGCTCTCTTCACATGGTCTAAGCTTTCGATTGGCATGTCAACTAAGTGAGCGAATTACGATGGCTGGATTTAAAGACCCACAGCCATCATGCATATCTGTGGCACTCGGAAAGTATGT